AGATCTCGTACATTGGAACCCATGGTTATGGAACCGAATCCATTAGTATGGAATTTTCTTTTCCAAGTGAAATCCCCTAGTAGTATATGAAAGAGTGAAAAAGTGCTTTCGTTGTTGTGGAATAAGAAGAATCAGAATCCTCCTGTTTACCAAGTGAAAGAATAAAGAATAAAGAGGAAAGAAAAGAAAAGAGATAGTCTAGTGAATGAGAAGAAAATGAAAGAAAAAATCAATTAAGAGAAAAAGGATCAAGAGAAGAAATTGGTTCAGGTTCATGAGTAAATCTTTCAGTTGTTGAGGATTGACTTACAGTGAACTCTCATTAATGTTGAGTGTTTACAGGAGAGGAAAAGAGTGAAAGAATAGGAAAGAACAAGAACTGAAGGTCATATAGGTTCAGGTTCAGGTGAAGGAGAGAAACAACTTTGTTTACAGTTCAATCAGGGAATAAAAGAAAGCTAGAAGGAAGAAAGGCTAAGCTAAGACAGAGAGGAGCGGTGAGACCTTAGTCAATCTGGTTCGTTCAGTAGCTCAGGTAATATATCGGAAAAGAAGAATAGTCCGTCCGTCCTGTTTACCCTCTTCAATCACAATCAGGTAATTCAGGTTCAGGTTTAGGAGTCAGTAGGGAGAGGTTCACAATAACTTACGGGAATAGAGGATTAAGATCAGTTAAAGAATAAATGGGTTCAGGTTTTCTTCGGTTTCATCTTTCTTCTTTCCTCTCCTGTCAAGCTGCTAACTCCTGAATTTCTTCTTTAACTGTAAACTCGTTCACGTTCAATCAGGGCATCCGGTCATATCGGTGCTCCAGTTCAGGCAATGGAATTGTGAGACGAGAAGAGGTGAATGAGCTGATCTTTCTTTCCTTTCTCTTTTTCTTGAATGAATCTTGCTGGATGGATGGAGGGAGTCTTTCTTTTGTTTGTTGACGGCAGTGCCTATATTTTGTATTGTTTTGGCTTTAGTGGCAACCCCTGAATCTCGAGCCGCGGGGCGTTCCATTCCAACCGAGTTCCGTTCCAAGAATGCCCTTGCCGTTGCATATTCGAACTCATTCAAGCACAATTCGCATCATGATGTTCAATAAGGAAGCTTCAATAGAAAATGTAAGGAAAAAAGCCTTCGAAGATGAACTTGTTCCCAAGTCAATACATGGCTGGATATCTTGCTGGAACAATCTGTTCTTCCAGAATACCTTACCTGGATTCAGTGCCAAAGAATTTCCTTTCTGTCGCTACCATATAGTATGAATCTATCTATACTTGGTGATAAATAAAGCATCCGCACTTTGATCTCTCTCTCCATCTCTCAGTTCATCAAATGGAGTTTCTAGAGATAGATCCCCAATGACCAATCCTTGCATGAATTGCTAATGATCCAATAAGTCCAACATTAATTCCTTTTCCTTCAGACGTGTCAATTGAGAAAATGGGTCCACAATGACTAGGATAGCTGGCTATCTCGTCAAACTAGCTGTTCGCCCTGTCAATCCTCCTAGCCCCAAATCACTCAATTTTCTCCCATGAACTAGTTGTGTCAATGGATGAGTTCGATCTAAAACTTGAGATACCGGGTGTAATCCGAAAACAGATTCAACCGTGGCGTGGTTGTTAATGGAGTGGAAGTTACCAAATTCTAAGAGAGGAGTCGGTATCAATTTATGTCTAATCCACATATAGTTTCTCTAACCATCCATATTATCTAAACGAACGTCAGCCAATCCGAATTGATCTTGTAAGAGACCGGCGACAGAGCGAATCCCTTTCTTTTTCAAATGATTCATACCATACCGGCAAGTGTACCCATTCCCAATTTCAGTCCAATCAAATGATCTGCAGCTGCCAATATATCCGGCGGTAAGAAAAATGTATTGTTTTCTCAGGTATATCAAGATTCAGTCTCGGGTTCAGATTTCGTCGACCAATCCTTGTTGAAAGAATTTCTTTTGTAATTCCTTAAGGATTCAGAAAATACCGAATCTCCACTGATCCCATTCCATTTGTTTTTTCTCCTTATTCGAGTGAGTCAGGAAAGACCAAACAATTTCCGGGTAGTAAACATTCTCGAGAATTTCTCTGAGATTCGAACCCATAGCTGATGATAGAACTAGAATAGATATTTTTTGTTTCCTACTCCCCCGAGGCGAGCCCATATCCTTGCTTTTCGATCACTCTCTCATTCTATCTCCCCAATCAGATATTATGGTGTGGTGAGTATAGACCGAAATTCTGTTATGGTCCAATTTTTCCCGACAATAGATACCGGCGGGGCTTTGCAATATGTGACTGATCCCGATTCTGTACAGTCTGACTATAGAAGTTCCCAGAGAATGAATTAGAGGAATGTTTCCAATCAAAATGGTTTTTTCTTGCCTATCCCTCCCCAGGTTTTCCAAATTCATCCTGCGGATACATATAATTCAGAAGAAGAAGAATATGTGAGTGATTCAGAGCCAGCATCTCTTTCTTTTATCAATGGTTCTAACAATTTCTATGTTTCTGCAAATAATGGAAATTCCATTTTGGGAAACTTAGAAAGTTCTTCCGTTAAACCATGATCAATGAACCTACAAAACCCTGAACTTCAAATTGTATCTATCTGATTAAACCCAGCCAGTCATTGTCGACATTCTCTCATTTCCACACCTAACCAAGCATTTTGTTGATTTCCCATTTATAAAAAGGATTCTCAAAATGGCATTTTGAACATTTCCTATAAGCATCTTATTAAGATACCCGATTTAGCTAATTGTAATAATCAGAATTTATGCTCTGGGGGTTACACTAATAATCGCTATTCTCATTTTCATTAAGAAGGATTCTCTTATGGTTATGGAAACGAATCAATACGGATGGATTAATAATGATTAGTTATGTATCAATTTCTTTGGGGATTGTTTTCTGATATCATTAGGGAACCCTACCTAATTTTCCCTTTGAATCCAAGAATCATTTAGGAATGAACAGCACAGTCAATAGTGAAAGTGAACGGTTCCCATTTGTCTCCTTCATTTTAGCTTTTGTGACTGAAAATCCTTTTGGCAATAGAAAAAGTCAAGTTCCGTTTTTCGGTTTAGATATTGTGGAAGATACTATCAATCGAAGAGATAGGGCCAATACAAGATTTAGTAGTGTTTTGGCGGCATGGCCGAGCGGTAAGGCGGGGGACTGCAAATCCCCTTTTCCCCAGTTCAAATCTGGGTGTCGCCTCATCAACAAACAAAAGAATGGAAAGACTTTACGCTATTTTGCTGATATAATCTTATCTTTAGCATTTGTTTACAGGAGAATGAGAAGACAAAACAAAGCAAGCCTCTTTCAATTTACTTGATTCTAAGCATCCTTAGGGGTTCGGTAAAATGCTATACACATCCTTGCGTCTAGGTTTCATTTCAAGAATTCAGTGTCAGTAGAGTAATGCAACATTGTTCAATCTGGATATGATAACCCCTCGACTCCGAATTGGGTGTCTACTGATTGGGTCTTGAATTAGGGGGTAGGGAATCTCATTTCATTTTGAGTTACAGAAAGGAGGAAGATATTTGATATATGGACTCATGAAAGTATCTGAGTGCTCGAGCAGTCATTGGCTCTTTTTCTTATTAGAATCAATCTTAAAGGAAAGGAACAAACAACTTCCTTCTTTTCGATAAGCTCTAGCATGTAATAGGTCATCCCATCTCCTGATTTTCTCTATGAATAGGGGGGCAGGGGGAGACAGTAAAGATAAGATCAAATGAGAAAGGAATAATATTAGGGGTATGCGATAGATAGTGATCCATGTTGATTGACTCTTTTTATACACTCATTTTTTCATGTAATGAAGGACAACAAAAGAAAGTCTAGGTCTTATTATTCCTACCTACATGGTATGGGACTAAGACTCCTTTGAGACTTCCAAGAGGTTCTCCGCCTCTTTGATTTGTACTTCATTTTGTCGATTATACTAGATAGAATAGTTCTAATTCGATTTTGGGCATTGTTTCATCAATGGTGTTGTGCCCGAATCCCTTTTTGACTATGCGCTAGTGATTCCACTATAATTAGTCCAGAATAAAGAATAATTCTTTTCTGAGAGATAGGGACATAATTCACATGGATATGGTAAGTCTCGGCTGCTTTCAGGGTAGTCCTTCGATTTTCTCTTTCACTCGGAGTATGGGGAAGAAGTGGACTCGAGAAGTACTACTAAGAATCAAACAGTATCAATTGTTTTTGGTTGGTTTATTTGATGGATCATTCTGCGTAACGTCGAGCAGCGGAAGAAAAATACCATTTCAGCTGTCGACAAGGGGGGTCGTCTACTCCTCACTGAGGAATGGCTTGCACGTCTAAAGCTCTGTGACAACACTGGCGAGAGCAACGGGTCCTCCTCCAGCCGCAAAGACGGTAAGAAGCCATGGATCTCCCACGGGCGCATGCGCGGGAAAGATGGGAATCAAAAGAAGGAGTCGACCAATGGCAAGCCAATGTGGGAAGAGAGGACACCTAAGCAGGAATTTCCTGGAGCAAGCTTAGGAACAAGGAGAAGGCCGAAAAGGCCCATGTGGCTCAATCCGAGGAGGACGAGCCAGCTCTCTTCATGGTAAGTGCATGTGTCCCCATTGTCGATTCCAAATCCACGGAAATGGAGGTAATCAACAACGATGTTGAACTCGAGAAAGAGCTTCAGGTGGGCGTAGCAAAGGTGGCACCAGCTAGGGAGCCAATTCAACTGGAGGAGGAGCGAGTGTTCGCTCAGATCAGCGAGCGGGATGAGCAACACAAGGACCGGCGATGGATCCTAGACACAGGGGCAACAAACCATATGACCGGGGCTAGATCTGCATTCTCCGAACTCGACTCGGGGATCCGCGGGACGGTAAAATTCGGCGACGGATCCGTCGTCGAGATCGAAGGACGCGGCACCATCCTATTCGCCAGCAAGGGAGGCGAGCATCGCAAGCTGACCGACGTCTACTTCATCCCGAGGCTCAAGGCTAACCTTGTGAGCCTGGGTCAACTCGATGAGACAGGCTGTTTCATCTCCATCGAGCGCGGATTACTCAAAATTTGCGATAATCAACGACGGCTGCTCACACAGGCAAGGCGCACGACAAACCGTCTTTACATCCTGGAGTTACAGATAGAGCAACCTGTCAGTCTCTCGGCCAAGACCGAAGAGGTATCTTGGAGGTGGCACGAAAGGTACGGGCATTTAAACTTTCCTGCTCTAGAAAAACTACAGAAGGAGGAGTTAGTGCACGGTTTGCCAGCAATCAAAGGCGTGAACATGCTGTGCGACGGGTGCCTCATCGGAAAACAGAGGCGCACACCCTTTCCGTCTCGAACATCCTATCGAGCCGATGAGCCGTTGGAGCTTGTACACGGCGATATCTGCGGGCCCATCAAGCCGGCGACCCCAGGCGGTAAGAGTCTCTCTTCCTCCTGTTAGTCGATGACAAAAGCCGCTTCATGTGGCTGACCCTGCTGCAAGCGAAAAGTGAGGCGGCAGAGGCGGTTAAGTGCATTAAAGCGCGAGCAGAGGCCGAATGTGAGAAGAAGATCCTGCTGCAAGCGAAAAGTGAGGCGGCAGAGGCGGTTAAGTGCATTAAAGCGCGAGCGGAGGCCGAATGTGAGAAGAAGATGAGAGTGCTGCGCACAGACCGAGGCAGAGAATTCACCTCGACAAGTTTCGGTAAGTACTGTGACGAAATCGGCATACAACGGCACCTAACGGCGCCCTACTCCCCCCAACAGAACGGAGTGGTGGAGCGCCGGAATCAGACCATCGTCGGGACAGCAAGGTCATTGTTGGTGACGGCCGGGATGCCTGGGAGATTCTGGGGAGAGGCAGTAATGACGGCCGTATATCTCCTCAATCGGTCACCAACCCGAAGCCTTGACGGGAAGACACCATATGAGGCCTGGTACAACAAAAAACCAGCGGTACATCATTTTCGCGTGTTCGGCTGCGTCACTTACATGAAGGTAACACGTCCCCACCTTGCCAAGCTCGATCCTAGAGGGCTGAAGGTCGTTTTTATCGGCTATGAACCCGGGAGCAAGGCGTACAGACTATATGATCCTGTAGGGGGGCGAGCTCACGTGTCTCACGACGTCGTCTTCGATGAAAGCACCTTCTGGCAGTGGAATGACGTGATCGAGGCAGACCATAATCCAAATCAATTTACGGTGAAGTACCTCGTCACTAAGCCGGAAGAAGGAGGAGCCCAGCATCAGCAGCCGTCACCGCCGCCAGCAGGTGCAACCCCTGAACCAGTGGAATTCGCAACACCACGGACTGCGGATTCGACGCTGGATGCCGATCACGATACTGATCTGGAGGCCAGGTACCGGAGGATGGACGACCTAGTAGGAGGAGGTGAACCACCTGGACTGGCAGTGCGCGAGCTCGAAGAAGTGGCCGAACTACATGCCATCAGTGCAGATGAACCGAACACCTTCACCGAAGCAGAAAAGAACCCGTGCTGGCTGAAGGCAATGCAGGAGGAGATGACATCCATCACCGAAAATCAGACATGGAGTCTAGAGGATATGCCGCCGGGACACCAAGCCATAGGGCTCAAATGGGTCTTCAAACTGAAGCGCAACGAAAAAGGAGAAGTTGTGAAACACAAGGCCCGTCTGGTGGCGAAGGGCTACGTCCAGAAGCAAGGAGTGGACTTCGAAGAGGTATTTGCGCCAGTGGCAAGGTTAGAATCCAATCGTTTCTTACTTGCAATTGCAGCACATTACTCTTGGGAGGTTCACCATATGAACGTAAAGTCTGCTTTCCTTAACGGAGAGCTGAAGGAGACTGTTTATGTCCGACAACCACCTGGCTTCCTTGATAACAACAACCCCAATAAAGTATTGCGCCTGCACAAGGCACTCTACGGACTTCGACAAGCTCCACGAGCCTGGAACGCGAAGCTCGACAGTACCTTACTATCACTGAAATTCAAACGTTGCGCCTCTGAGCATGGCATGTACACGCACGGCCATGACAAGAAGCGACTAATCGTGGGAGTGTACGTCGACGACCTCATAATCACTGGAGGTGACATGGAAGTCCTCGGAAGGTTCAAGAAGGAGATGTCGAAAAACTTCGAGATGAGCGATCTCGGCGTGCTCAGCTACTATCTCGGCATCGAAGTGCAACAGAATTCTACCGGCATCTCCATCTGCCAAAGTGCATACGCAAAGAAGCTGTTGGACACAACTGGACTTGTGGACAGTAATCCTACAAGGACGCCAATGGAGGCCCGACTCCAACTAAGGAAGGCTGGCACTACGACGACAGTCGACTCCACCAATTACCGCAGCATTGTCGGGAGTCTGCGCTATCTGGTAAACTCTCGTCCTGATCTTGCTTATTCTGTTGGATATGTGAGCCGGTTTATGGAAGCACCTAGGGAGGAGCATTTAGTGGCTGTCAAGCGCATCCTGCGCTATGTAGCCGGAACCAGAGGTTGGGGTGTAAGATACTGCGCAGGGAGCGGAAAGGAGAAACTCA